TATCCATTAACGCTGTTGATATTTTGAGGATATTCTTATCAGCATAAAAGTTCGGCGTCAATGAAAGCATGTCATTAGAACAAAACTATATTCAAGCAACCGTACTAAATAAATAAATAAATAAATAAATAAATAAATAAATGAATAAATAAATAAGAGACAATCGAATTCCTGTTTGGATGCAGCGGTAAGATTTATGAAAAAGTCCTTTCCTTTCGGCATAAGCTGGGGCCAAAGTTTTATGGAGACTAGGTATACGCAATAGTGATAAACCATCCGAGATCCTAGCACATTCTCGTTAGGCTTCAAATTGCTGCGCTATCTATCCGCAGAGTGGTGGAAACTACAGTAATTGTTAATTTAGTAGTTTAAAAAACTATAGGCCTAATGAAAAGCATTGAGCAATGATACTCTTTTTAATGAATTTAGTCAGATTGTAACATAAAATACGAATTGAAAATTTATAACAAATCTATTGATTTACTATTTAGTTATTTCATTTTGTGCGTTGATCCAGACGGACAGGAGTATCTCCCTGGCCTGATATGGCATTTTCTTATTCAGCTGAGCATGAGATGGCGCATTCGGTGGTCTGATATGTGGCTCAGTTTCTCACTACGTCACGTCCGGTTTGTTGTGAAGTCGGTCAGTCTGGCACTTCAATAATATATTTGGAGAAAACTGGCGTGCCTCGGCATATAGAAAGTCTACACTCTCAGGTCCTGTGGAAACACTGAGAAATTGTAGTTTCATTTTACAACTCTGCACGGTCCGATGCACGCTGCTAGTGTAAGTACTTTTTACGTGTACACTGTAATGCAGCAGGTGGACTTCATTTGGATGCTTCTATGTGTATTTTAATTTTAAAGACACGGGGAAAAGGTTAAAAAAGATTAAAGACTAAAATAAAGAGAAGCACGAAGGTATTCAGTGTTTTTGCATGTAGTATGTGGGTCTGCGTTTTTCCTTGTTGTGAAATTCTAAAAATATCCTATTGACCAAAACATTAAATGCTAACAAATTTAAAAATTCAAACTTCCAGGAAAACTTTATGACATGGGGCGGAATAGAAAAGATTCAGAAGGGCTACCAATAGAGAATTATAGGAAACAGATTGGTAGGTAAATGAAGTAGGCAACCAACTTCTGCACCTCTGGTTGTCACAAATAGATAAATCCTGGCTGGCATTCCATAAATTGCAATATTTTACTTTTAATAATCTGGCTGTTGATATACATGTATTCGACATGGCCTAAACAGGGATTCACGCTGAATGCACTCACTGAGATTAACAGGTATACACACTTCCTCTTGTTTGCAACATGTATACTCATATTTATATAACCGATCTGATGTTCTGTATTCTACTTAATGTCATCCGTTAATATGATTGCATTCAGAGAGAGTCCTTGCAGAGTTGGATCAATCTACTTATAACCATGGAGTTCTATTTGAATTCCTTGCTATAACTTATACTTTCTTTGTGCATGCACCCTTAGGGTATCACAGCATTTTACAAATAGATATATTTTAGACATGCATGCAACATATTATAATCTACTTTGTGTTATTTTTTGTGGAGTGTTACGGATTTGCATTCACTTTCCCATTTCAGGTAAACAAGATTACAAGAAGTCAAAGAAAGAATTGAAAGCAGTAAAAAAGGCAGCAGAGGCCAGAAAATCTGGATTGAATATAAAGGCAAGCCAGTCTATAGAAAAACAGATACATACTTGTGCAATGTACAGTAGGATCATGCATTACATAAGCCTAGTAGGCTACTAATAACTTACAAAGTGAATCTACAGACAAATTTTAATTTTATGCTGCACACATTTTTAAAAGTGGAAAAACTTTGATCATGATATGCATTTTATCTCTGCATTATTTTTTTTTCTCATAGAGCTACGTGTATCATAAATCTAATACAATTTGTACCAAATTGTACAAGTTTGTAGTCATAAAACTTGTTTTCAGTCACTAGTAAGTACTTATCCATTATGATGATTTCTGAATCGTACCTTTTTAGGATGTCATCTTGATGTTAGCAGTGTTTGTAGCCATGCTTGGGGCTGTGTATGCACTACTGTACTTCTCCTTGTCAGACCCCAACAGTAGCAGCTAACACTGGGAGACCATCAGAATAAACTTCTTAAGAGAAGGTAATGTAAAAGATGTTTTATTTTTTATCTTTTATTATTTGAATGATGGCATGAAGATTCACACAAGAGTAATATCTGTATAATTTGTGAAAGCTTTTTAAAATGTTTTGATTCAGTATAAACAAGTCGATATGAATATTTGATTCATACAAAAGATAATCCTGCAAATTATGTTGGTCATGTAATGATTTTTCTCTCTTTGTTTTGATTGCCTCAGTTTTAATTTATTTCAGATCCTTTTGTTGGATGCAGAAGGAGGTCCTCAAAATCTGTTCACAATCCCAGCCTGACTGTTAGAAATCATAGCTCGCCTCATTCTTTGTATTGATATATATTCATTTTAAAGTAAAATTTAGTAAAATAGTTCTGCTGAATTTATTGGAATTTAGCAAGTCATTAAAAAACAATTATAAGTGAGTGTGAGCCAAAATTTGTTCACTCTGGGCATTTACATGTACTTTGTACATGCAACATTTATCTTGATGACACTTGAGCAGTTGTGTTTATTGAACTTTTTTGTTAGATTTTTGCTTATTTTGAATAATGCTAGTTACAAAACAAAAGCAAGTTGCAATTTAGTACAAGGGGATTGTATTTTATTTTAAAATAAGATAAAATGAAAGCGGTTGTCATGCAGTGCCATCAGGTTAATTTATTAAAAATATCTTACCTAAGAAATATATTTCTCATTTATGCAAGATTCTATAGCAATATAACGCAAAAATGGTGTTTGACCCTTAAGCATACATTTGCAAGCTAATGGGTTAAAGGATGCCCCTTTTCACACCATCACCTATCTGTATCCAAATACTAAGGGAGATTGACAACTGGATATGCTGGCTATTACCTAAGAGTTACCCAAACGGAGCTCCATGTAGATAACAGTTGGAAGTGAACTTGTGAATGGGGAAAAACCCCGTAGCCTAATGACATTTTAGGACCAGTGTAAGTGTTTCGATACCGATATGCATCATGTACGATGTGAAAAGGGGCCTTTGTGATACAAACATTTTGTAAAGAAGAAAATGTTGTTATGAATATTTATAAGTATGTTAAATTCTTCAATTACCAAAGATTAGGTAGTTTTCTCATTTTACATATACATAGTACATTGTTGTGTAAGGTGCAGTTTCTGCGAGACTACTTTTTATTTAGTTTTCAAATTAATTGTGCAATATTCTCAAAGGTCAGATTACACTCAGATTGTCAACTGGTATCAGCCTGAATATGTTGTATCACCTCTAGTTGCAGAGGACACTGAAAACTCCTCACCTTCCTCTTATCAACTCATTGGAAATGGCAGCTAGAGGCATGTGGATAATGAAAACTGAGGGAGAGTTCAAATATCTTCTAAAACTATAGTTGACATTTATTGAATGAGAATACCAAATTGTACTGCCACTGTCAAATTATATTATGCCAGATAGCATGGAAAATGCCACAAGTATCTGTTTCAATTTTTATAGCATTCATTTTAATGTTACAAATATCATTGATTTTTGGGCTTCTGCAAGGACAGAGCCCGAGACAAACTAGTTTGTCAAAATGGCACAATATATTAGTCTAGCTTTATCCTGATTCTGACCAATCCACCCCAAGTCAGAGCCCAGTTGAAACATTCCTTTTTAATTATGATCAAGGTAGTCTTTTGTACCACATTTTAAGAACAGATAAAAATACCCTGAAACTTGGGAAGACGAGCAGGATTAATGGTTATGAAATGTGTTTACAAACAATAATTATATGCGTGTCTTTCACAAAGACATTTAGGCACACTATTTTCACATGTAGAGCAGCATGACTAAGTGATAACATATCAATAGATTTTTAGGTCAGCAATCTGCTCTTTATTGTTTATTGTCAGATGGGTTGGTGTAGGCTAAATGATGTTACTGTGTGATATATCAGTGATAAGACACAATGGTTTGTGACATGTATGAAAGAAAAACAACTGCTACAGTAAGTTGGGTTTCTGACCTGCCAAATGAAAGGAAAAGTGATTCACAGATTTTAAAAGATATTTCACTATGCATTTATAAATCACAGTCACTGTGGTGTTTGTTTGTAAGTTAAACACTGTCATACACAGCCAAGCCAAAATGCTACTGTACACTACTAAAATGGTGTTACATTTTGAAAGTGATGAAAATAGGGCTTGATGAAAGACCTGGTGGATTTCAGGGCTTCGATTTTATTGGTTTTGGCTTGGATCTGAATTTTTTTAATGTGTTCAAAATGTTTTTATATTAAATGTTGAAATGAAACTATGCAAGAACATTCCAACCTTTCCATGTAATTTAAGTCTGTACTCGGGATACATCACGTACTGTAACATTTTTCACCAATTGTCCATGAGCATCTCCAATGTTATGGTAGAATAACAACTATTACATGACATTTTTCCATTTTTAATTCCAAGGAAATAAATAAATATCAAAATACATTCAAGCCTTCTGTTTTCAGTGTTGAAAACTGACAGCTTTTTCTTTAAAATTAATTCAGCAGTTGCATCAAACTTACAACTCATCAACCAGTTTTGCTTTACTTAACAAATGTCCAAAAAACATTTTCTCTAATTTCTGCAATCTGTATATTTATTTTTCCCCTGGCACTGGGCCTTGTGTCTGTTGTCACAGCATTGACTGTGTGACAATTTCTTTGCAGAGTAAGAGTCTGATTAAAAGACGCAAAAAAAAAAAAAAAAAAAAAAAAAAGTCTGGCAAAAATTACAAGTCCATCAACATGGCAATTTGACACTTTGCAAGTGTTTGAATAGTTTCCCTCACTTTCTATTATCAGTGCTGGTACAGTGTAGGGGTCATTTCACAAAAAAAGTGTGCATTTGACACACATGAGTGAAGTAAACATTTGTGCAATATTTGCATAACTGTTTCATATCACTTATTATAACTGCTGATACCTTTTCGTATTGGAGGGTATTTAAGTATGAATTGGCAAAAATAATGGGATAAGCCAGAAGTATGCAAATGTCACACTCAATGTGTGCATCAATGACCTTGACTCAAATGCTCACATTTTTTTTTCTGAAATGGCCAATAAAAAATGGCAAGGTTAAGTACAATTTAGGAGACTTCATATACTTGAGAGGAAATCTGACAAGGAGCTTGATGAAGATTTCTTTCTTTCTTCATTGACCAACATGCGGTTAAGCTGGGAATGAAATGCTTTTCCCTTGTTCTTCTTTTTACTTGAGTTTTTATCCTTGCTTTGCCCTATCTGTGGAGAGAGCATGGTCACAGCCCTTGGTGAGAGAAAAGATCCAGAATGAGAAGAATCAAGAGACTTCTTTGACAGGTTTTTCTTAATACTGGATTCAGTATTTTGATTCATGCATGGTGAACCAGACCCACCATGACTTTTCCTTGATTTTTCCACAGATCCCAAAGAGGTGAGAACCGATCTACTTGAGTTGCTCGTGTCATTTGTCGAAACCTCCTGAAAATCGTCTTCTGTCAGTGACTTGGTGAAAGAATCATCTGAAGTATTCATTTGTTTTTCTGAGAACAATTTTAGCACAGGTCCTTTTGGTTGTAGATTGTCCAATAAACCAGCTTCTCTTGAATGGTTTGCAGCCTTTTGTTTCTTCTTTTTCTTAGAGGCAACATCTAATAATTTAGGAGTGCTGAAAAATACATTTTCAAATAAATGAGATTATGCAGAGATTAACAATCATTAACCATAAAAGTTCCTTCCTCTAAACAGCAATGGAACACAGAATGCTAAAAATGAAAGAAGACTTTCCATATGAATTCACAGCCTTTAATGACATATTACGATAACTATTTTTAAAAATTCAATTTTATTTTCATAATGACATACACCAAGGATTAAAGCAAGGATGAAAAATACAAATCCCAGTTTATACCTAGTGACAAAATCCTCCGTCATATTGAGTTTTGCTTCAATCTCTTTCTTTCTCTTCATCTTCATTTTCAGCTTCTTTTTAGCCGACTTTGACAATTTCTGTTCTACATTGTCTTCGACAGATACATTGTTAATTGACAGCTTTGACCGCTGAGGACATGATATTTTGGTTTTTCTACCACAAACTAAACAAGAAATTACCTGGAATGACACATGAAAAAGAAAAAAATTTAGCAATATGATACATAAAAAATGCCATTCATGACAAATTAACAAATTCCTGTGTATCTAAATAACCTACCAATTCTAGTAAAAGGCCAGTTAAGACTTGATCATTTTTTCTTCCTTCTGCTTATTAAAAATTAATTATTCACCTCCTCAGATTACATCTTACCATCATGCTTTTTCTTTCTTGATAACACTTTAATAAATGCTTTTGGTATGTCCCCAAAGTATTAGTTTGTGCTCTCTGCGACAGTTTATGAATCTTCTTTGTAATTTTCACTTTGGGTGCAATACGGTAGTGGCTATTTTCAGGCAGGAATACTGTCCTGCAGTATTTACACTGGGTAGGAGAAGGCGATGCACTGATATATTGTGAATAATCCTGAAGCTGCATGCTATGCCATCTGTAACGATAATGTGCCTGTATATCTTGCCGGAACAAAACTAAAAATTAAAGTTCACTATAAATGATAAAATGAATAAATAGATAAATGAAAAGCCGATTTATTTATCTGGAAGGCAAAAATTCAGGCCAGAAACTGAAAAACGATGTAAACATTATCAAATACACTATATACATAGGGATTCAGATTAATGTAACCCTTATCCTCTCACAATGGAAGTGGAAATAAGAGGAAACAGATTAATTTTAAACTGATGTCTAAATGCGATGTCATTTTCATAATTTACATGGCTATGCTCAATGTTCATCATACCACCATTGGTAATATTTTTTCTGTCTTTTTAGGGGGCATGCTTACGAATAAAACCTGGATAACGGTGGGTTTATCTGTGCATAATGAGTTGCCAGTATATCAGCCTTCAATAAATGTTGTTTTACGTGCTCTCTGTCGCCTATGTTTGCCATATTCCAGTTCTGTAGTGTTCAATCAGCTACGATGTGCGTAGACCTGCACGCGGGCATGTGTACCGGAAGTTTTTTACTTGGTTTGATATAAAACAAAGAATGGAGTAAACAAAACCAGATATTCAAAGTTGATTTTATTATTGAAAACACGAAAAATGCTTATTTCATCATAAAATTCCACTAAAAATATTTTTCAAAATAAAATTATTATAAATTCAATCATGCTTGCGAAAGAATAAGAATATTCGTTCCGGTGATCGGCTGAGTTCGAATCGAGATTGTACATTTCATTCTAACTTACACAACAACGTACAGAAAACAAGGTAAAAACACAGGTGGTTACGGATGCAAACAGGCCTTCAGAAATGCCGACATTCTCTCTCGAGGAAGTAAAAAAACACAACCACGTTAAAGATCTTTGGGTGATCAACCAGAATAAAGTGTACGATGTCACAACATTCGTCGAGAAACACCCAGGAGGCAAGGAGGTGTTGGCGGAATTCGCCGGGTCGAACGTGACAGAGATCATGAGAGAACCATCGTCCCATAACTTTGGACACAAACACACCAAATATGCATACAGTCTACTACAAAGCCACTACATTGGTGATCTAGAGAAGGTAGGTGCATTTTCACTGGTTTGTATCATATTTAAATGAGTACTAGTAGTCAAAGAAGGCGCTGAGGCACAGGTGTACTGGGTACAGTATTAATAGTATATGCCCCACCCACTTATATTAAATCGCATGTTGTGATCATTTGAGTCAAGATATCGGTCCTCAACTCGACAAAATAGCTGTATTGGGAGTGAAAATCATAAAGTGTATGTAGCGCTTGTTTCAATGAAAAGATGTGAAATGGATATGATTGCTTACCTTCATTTCCACAAGTTCAAATCTGCTGGGGTTCCTCTGTACTGTATTACCACAGAAATGAAATCAGGGATTTGTTGGTACGTGATAGGGTATTTATTAAATCTGCATTTTTGAATACTTGCATTTCTAAATTTTCATTTTGGTGTCAAAATTGCTGCTACACATTAAAGCTAGTGCCCAGAACAAACATAAAATGTACAGTGTATTATGTATCTATATAAAGTTGAAGCTTTTGCATACTAGTACATGTACTATGTATTATGTATATATATAGGGGCAGTCAATCACTGTCAGTGGAAACAGAACCATTTCCTATGAAATATTTATTTAATTTCTATATGAACCTACTCAATGAAGGGATGAATAAATCAATGATTTAATAGATAGATGCCGGCAAATGAACAGATGAATTCCAGTGCACAGATAAATTAAATAATTATTTATTAATTATTCTTATTTGGAAACAGATTGAAAAGACTAAAACTTGGATCATCAGTTATCAGTTGGGGAAAAGGTTAATGGGATGTGACAGTATAAATAAATAAAATTGATTTAGTAGGAGAATATGTGCTGTCTATGAAATTTTTACTATGGAAAGCTTTTTTACAAGATTTAAACTGGTGATGATGGGAGAAGTGGGGAACACATCATTGGGCTGTCACTGCAAAACAAGATATTAGAATAGTAGTAATTTAATGCACACAAGTATCTGGGTTAAAGAATGAATAAATTTATATATTTTTTTATTTAAATAATGTGGAGAGCCCTAAATGTGCTGACAAAAAAAAAAAAAAAAAAAAAAAAATTGGAGAGATCAGTTACTAAGTAACAGACATACCAGTGCTGAGGCTGCTGAACAGGGTGTGCTCTCTTTTAATGGTTGCCCATGCTTCAATAGTTACTGCACCCTGCAATCATTATAGCTTCATCATTACCGTCTGACATAGACTGTGACAAGCCTTACACCATTGTGTGCTGTTGGCCTCTTTGCCACTCTGCTGCACCTTTTTTTCTTTTGTACAGTAATTTTTTCAAAGAGAGTGCTCTCTGAAGAAAAAACGGTCAGGTGCTGTTTTTTAAAAGTTGTACTGTGAGAAATAAGAACTTGTTTTTTGGGCTTTTTGCCAGTGATTATGTTACTAGTATCCCACCTAGCCAGTAAACTCTGAATGTGAGTATAAATGTGAGTAATTGTTATTGTGAGTTTGTTTTTTTGTGTGCTGAAACAAACTTAAATACCCAAATATCAGTCCTTATTATTTACCCTCCCAGTTTGGTTGTAATGTTACACTTAGTTCAGTATTAATCAGAAAATGAATGTGGCTACATTGTACATTAATTGCAGCAAGAAATCATATCTTGAGCTTTTTTTTATCCATTTTACATTATTAGTAGATTATAATGGATTTACACTGCTTCATTGTACAAGAAAGCACAACTTCTACCAGCACTTTTTAAAACTGGTTTTGTGCAATATGAAATGATATCTAAGAATAAAGTGAAATATAACACAGTTGTTGGAAAGGAAAGCAGGTAATAAACCAGGTTTTACGACTAGTTAGTTGAGGACTGACTAGTTTATGAAACAGATCTATCTTTTGACCGGTGAAGCATTACTGAAAGTCACAAATCGTATGTGCTTGAACCATACAGAATATAGCACCCCAGGTGACAGAGAGGATGTAAAGCAAGATTTAATGAAAGCTGATACAGTACACTGGCAACCCATTGTGTACAGATAAATCCACTGTTATACAGATTTTATTTGTAAGCATGTCCTCTGAATGGATAGAGAAAATATTACTAATCGTGAAATGAAGTGGAGTGTTATCATTTGGATTTTTTTTCTTTTCACTTTTAAAACAAATTTTGATTAATTGCAGACCATGGAGTACAATACTGTCTCACGTGAGGGATGGGAGAATAGATAAGAAACTATGTTTGCTAAGATCAGATGATAATCAATCCCTTCCTATAACACGATGCCTGGTTATGATGTACATATTAAAGGTGCCTAGTAAATAGTCTGTAGAGATGCCTAGCCCTGGGTGTGTAATAACCATCCAGGGCATTTGATGGGTGGATAGTATACAAAATTAAGGCAGTAGATGTTTTTATATAGTACTCAGTCAAAAAATACAGTCAGTATGATTATCTAGTAGGTTTTTGATTAGATTACTAGTAGATCGTAATTCTAGATATTGCCTTTGTCAGGCCAAATCAAATATGGTTGTAATTGATTACATATGACATTATCAGGGCCATTGATATTTGTGACTTGCCTTCAACAGGGTTAAAAAAAGATGTCAGGCCTGCCTGTGGGAGAAGTTTTATTTTATAACTACAGACAAGTACGCTACCCTTTACTCTAAATTGGAACTTGTCAGCAAGTGCCAATACTCAAGAAAATACCTGTTGGAGCATGATTTATTTATCAGCAGCTTATAATTTATTGCATTGAAAATGTAAAGTATTTATTAATCTTGTAATGGTAATCCCATGCTATCTGCATTACCATGTGTGCACAGTATCATGAGAAAGTTACTGGCAAAATAAAGGGATAAAGAAAGAGGAAGACGAAGGTTAATATTCAAAGAGCCTCAGCTAGTGGATTTGAGTACTAGTAAACACCAAAGGGTCGATCTTGATGGCCATGGCCACAGAGATTCATTGCAGCCAATGCTCTAAAAGAACAGGCATCAAGTGAGAGAGAGAGAGAGGAAGTATAGCAATGAATAATTTCTCTTGGTTGTATTCTTTTAAGTTCTGTTAAATTACAGTGTGCGGTATAAAATGAGAGATTCACTGTGTTTTGGATATCACTCGATCACTTCACTGAGAAATTCCTGGTGCATAGAGGTACATCCTTATAGTTGAACAGTTAACCCCAACTAACACAGACTCTCACATGTTTTCTGGTTTCTTATGCCATCTCAGATGATTCCCATCGGATCAATCAGCCAAGTGAACTAGTACTAGTAACACACTAACAACTTATTGATTAAAAAAAAAGAAGTACCTGTTACCAGCCTTCATTATGAAACCATACTTTGACCTTTATAGTAAAAGAAAACTGTTTAACGAGCTTGCAAGCCAAAGGTACAGGACTGAGATTAAGTGTGGAATTTAAGCAGAGCAACCACCCAGGTATGACTTGATATTAT